TCAATCGTCATTTTGTAGAGCGTTTTTTACTGCATCTTTTCTTCATAGAGACAAATTTACAACCACTTGTTTCACTATAGAAAAATTTATTATTCAAATCGAGTCAGGACTTCTGGCCCACCCTTTAGAGACTTTAAACACTAAGTGAGGTAACAAACAGAATTACACTATAATCATACCTACTAAAAATGTCATGGACTGCGGTAAAATATTATTCCTCAAATTTTACTAATTTACTTGAGAATGGTGGTATTAGCCTACTAGGCTAATACCAGCATTTCAACACACGATTTAGTATTTAACTATTCAATTTACGATTTAGTATTCAACACACGAATAGTATTCCCTAGTAAAGCTAGCTGGAGTACAACTTTCTTGAGTCTATAGTATATGCAGAAACCAAGATCTTAAAACCAATTTTGATCATATGTTCGATAGCTTTTACTATTTAATGCGAAAAATTTTATTCTACATATGTATATACACTAATAATAAGCATAAATAAGGACTTACATTCCAACTTTTCTCGCCTGTAGAAATTTTTATCGTTAAAGTGTATTCTGCAACGTGACAAAATGACTAACATATAACTTTTTCTTGTTTATTTTTTCTTCTGATATGCTCACGGTAAATTAAGATGTTTGTTGCTTTTCATCACGGAAAAGTTTAAAGAATGCTAAAGGAATATATCTATCGTAAAACAAATTTCCTTCTTCTGCTTTGCTAACGAGATATGTTTAAACTTCCGAAAAAGGAAATTTCCCAAGTTACATCGCAACCCGTCAAAAACAAGAGATACCTCACGATAATCTTATTTTCAGAAATTACCAAAATTTGGGTGTGGGTCGATAGGATGTAGGTGCGAGGTTATGGGCGTTGGCGTGGGTGTAGTTGGCTCTGGTGCTTCGGTGTAGATGTGTATGAGGGTTAGGACAAGACTAAAATACCCACGAGGACCATCAAACCGACACCCATACCCACCCCACATCCAGCCACGCCTACAACCTCAACTCATAAGTATAATAAAGAAATCTCAGTAATTACTGAAAATTGTTGGTAATGTCCGAAATTGGTCAGAAATTTCTGCTAGTAGGTTGGGTAGGGTCCTCTCCATCTATTGAGGAAATTTACGAAATGGGATGATTTATGAAGGAAATTTCCTTTTTCGGAAATTTGAACACTGCTGTGAGGATCTTTCCTCAAAAATACATGTTTCAAAAAATATAAGGGAGCTTCTGAATCTAAAAGTTTGGTGAGAAAGTTAATGGGGAATTTAGTTTTGCGGCAAATTCAGACAAAAAGGATATTTTCCGTAAAAGTTTACGAAGATATGCAATGTATGAGTCGCGATGCAGTCATAAAACTATAGTACTGTCAGCGATGTTAACGGTGGAGAGTGGGGTTAGGGATGTTCGTGGTATGGTGGTACAACACCATACCACCAATACCGCTATAGAGTATGAAGACCGCTAAGCACCGCCAACATCGCTAATATCTGTAGATTTTGATTTTGCTATTTTTTTCTTAATGAGATTGATTTTGCCGCAAATCCAATTACTATCAGATGTGATGACGATAACAGCATATTGGCTGCATCGTCTGTGGTATCACCGGCTGGTTAGGACCATTAGCTTTTTAGACTTTAACGAGTTCTACATGCCAATATGATCTTATACGTTCTACTAGTTCCCAGACACCAAAACTAATTCCCTGATTACTTACATAGAATATTATATGGGCATAATGAATATAATAAATACAACAGGGGCTCTATTAGTCACTTGATGCATCCTTAATGTGTGTTGCCACTGTCAACGTTAGTTTGAAGCTTCCTGTACATGAGTGTCCGTCCTTATCCTCAATCAAAAGAAGCGCTTTGTGTGTATGTCTTTATGTGGAGTTTTTCTCGGAAATTGAAACAACCTTTCTCGGAAACATGTGTTTCATTCAAACTTATATAAAGCATCAAATACAGTGGCACTCAAAATTGCTGATACAGTTTAAAAAAGAATGCAAGTGTTATATCTCTGTTAGGGTTAGATCTTTCGAGCTGTGGTTGTCGTTAAAATGTAGAGTAATGCGTATGGTGTACTTGTAGAAAGTTGGAACTTGATTCGCCGCAAAGTGATTGTTTTAAATAATAAAGAAGAAAAATCATGTATTTCAGTTTCGCTCCAAAATACTCATACAGTTTATGGGCAATAAATATGAATATATAGAACTTGGGATTTTTGATTTCACCTGTTTGATTCCTATAAAAAAAAGTCATTGCCAAATTAGAGTATTTTTAAGTTCTACTCTTAGTGTTAAACTTTACTCTTTAAAAGGTCGCCTAATCAGAATATTATCATAACTTTTTTCAAAAAAAAAATCACTCTGTCAGTTTGATAATTATCAATGAAGAAAGAAAATAGAAGGGGCATTTCTCTAAAGATAACTGGTTGTTTTGTTTGTTGAAATGATCAAATCAACCATACCATCTCATTGTTCCTGAGGTTCAACAATCCTTTTAAACCTATTTCCAGAGAATGTTTTCTCTACGCAGAAATAGAAATATGTTTAAAAGGCATTAGTGGAGCGACGGACAAAAGAGGGGGGGATGGTAAATGCTTATAAAGAATTCCTTGTTATTGATAGAATCTTTCCTTCTCCTATATTAAAAAGGATTGGCTAAGTGATTGTAAGGGTTTTTTACAACTGACTGTAAGTCTATGGTTATACGAAAAACTCAAAGTGTTTGTGTGTGTGTTTGTTTGTCCGTACACGGATGTGACGGACTTAAGCACACACGGTGACGGACGTACATACATATAGTGATGTGCCAGTGTGACGGACGTAATAATCATAACGCATGGTAGATAGTCTCTAGCGAACACCGACCGAAGGGAGGTGTAAGCGTTGTTTTGACGAAAGAAGGCCAAACTTTGCCCCTACTTAGGTTTCTTTATCAAGGGTAAGAAGACTGATAGATTTGGTAATATTACGTCCATTTCGAACATCTGTACGACAGATAAAACTAAATGAAATTACAGAGTCTCGATGAACTATAGCAATTCCGATAAATGTTTCTCACCGGTGAAAAGCTAAAGCAAGTGTTTCTGTAAACTAAAATGGAAAATATGGATGTTCTCATCGCGAAAAATATATTTTTGCATCAATTCTGCACGTAACGCGACACTTCGCTGACCAAGTCTTTGAAAAAATTATTTCAGAGTAGAGCTGAAAGGAGCATATCACTAGATGCAGTTTTTGATGATAATTACGAATCTCACATTAATTTTTCAAAAAAGTTAAATTTTGGCGCCCAAAATCCAGTTTTACGTTTTTTGAAAACTGTAATTTCAGTTTCCTCACCTAGACACTTTTCCTTAAAAAATGGAGGGCAATACTATTCAACGGAGAATTCGATTGTCTACAACATGATATATTTATTTTGAAGTTTAAACTCGAAACAAGCTTTCTAATAAAGTTTTAAGTTTCGAGATTCTCAGACAATTCTAAGGGAGTAAAAACGTTTTTTCGACTTTATTTTCACGTTACTCTATAGCAGATGCCTAAAATTACGTCCGATGCGAAAATCAAACCCTATGAGCAATGTTTAGTGCTCCAAAATTTGTTGGGAAAAAGTGTGTCACAGCGTTACTTTAGTAAATCGGGTTTTATAAACAAAGTAAAGGGTTCTGAAAAAAAACCTTTTTAGCAACAGAAAGCTCTTTAGCTCCTCTATAAACTTTCATCGGGACAGCTTTTATTAACTCGTCTAAATTTGCAGAAATTTCCACCTTAATGAGGAGTAGTTTGAATTTAGGGTCTTTTTATGTCACAGCGTTACCGGTCTAAAAAGGTTTTCTGGATGCTCGAGTCTTTAACCAAAAATCTTCATTTTTACAATGAAAGTAGAGTAAGACGAGCCGCTTCGAATGGCACAAAAACGAACTTTCTAACTTTTATAGTTCTCGTGAAAACCTCAAATTACTGTGTCAAAAATATCACAGCGTTACTTTTGGACAAGCCGTTGAATCAAAAGAACAGTCAAAAGCGTGGGTGACTGAAGGACAAAGGACTCCGACCGTCATCAGATGGCAACGATATCGATATGAGAAGAAAAGAATGTTTGTCATTTTCTTTATGACCACTGGACCGTTACTTATTCATCAAGTTACTTCTGGAGTATCTGTTGATAGTATCTATTATCGTGATGAATGTGTAAAACCATTGATCAAAAAGTTATTGAAGAAAAGACCATCATCGGGAACAAACGATATCAAGTTCCATCATGACAGTCCAAAAGATATTGTTGTCAATTATCTTCACAAAGAAAAAATCAAAATTATGGCTTATCCACCATACTCATTCGATCTTGCTCCTTGTTTGGAGGTAGTTAACCTAATCTCATATCAATAGTTGTCATCTTTCAATATACATATTCTTATCGTCACTCAATGGTTATTTTTCCTTTCTGTTCTTCTCATATATGTATTCACTCTTCTGCTTTTTATGATATATATTTTCTCTTTCTGTTCACTCTTTCCCATGGGTATTTTTCCTTCCTATTCTTCTCTCTCTCTCACTCTCTCGCTCTCTTGTACAATAGCTGTTTTTTCCAGTTTCCCAAAGGGATCTTCCTGTAGCTAAAATATACTATATATAGATGTTAATTTACTGAAATAAAGTATGTGTAACAGTTACATTCTTCTTTGGCTA